AAGAGTGATCGAGGGTGTCTACTCCGTCACTCCAATAGAGTGGCATCTGTCTCTTATACACATCTAGAGAACACCTAATTGGAAGGCATTTAGGCCTAGCTGTCTGAGATACAAAGCGATATACGGTACTACGCAACCAAGTGCGCCATAAACGAACAATGCTATAAGTCTTATAGCTATATTTTCTGTTAAAGTTCTCCAAGTTCTCATTATACTATGCGTTGGTGATTGTTTTGCGCCCTCATCGTCAGAAACTACTTGTGAAGCACTAGCATCTGAACTTGATGATGCTCCCATATTCATACCGCCACTTTTCCCACGTGATGGAACTGAAAGGGAGACAGATGTTACGTTTCAATTAAATTATTTATTAACAGCTTTGACATTACAATAACCTGAATAGTTGAGTTTGCTGGTGACAAATTAATTTCGTTGTGTTAATGCTATTTGTGTGAATAATGAATTTTATCGTCTGATCGTAATTTCGTCTTCACCATCTTCATAATTTTCATCACAACGTTAATATGCCTCGTTTTTATCATCTTCATCATATCACGCGCCTATTTATCTTCTTCATGTTAAACTTTATTATCCATCCTGTCATTATCATCATTATGTTAGTCTTCATCATTATCTCCATCATCAATTATTACATCATCACATTATCATCATCCTCTTTATCATCTCCATTATTCATAAATTTATCACTGTATCAGCTTCATCATCATCATCATCATCAATAACATCCATCGTCCCCTTCACCATCAGACCGTTTTTCTCCATGGTCGCCGTCGTCATCATCGACATCGTCCTCATCATCATTATGATCATTACTATTATTATTATTATTATTATTATTATTATTATTATTATTATTATTATTATTATTATTATTATTACTATTACTGTACATTAATTACTAATATGGCTATTATCATCATAATGACATTTCTACGATACAGTATAGGTAACAGGTTGTTAGGATAGGTAATAAAGGGGTATACGTAGTAGGCCTATGTCAAGGCTCGCGGTAATACAATCAGTAAAATTAATTAATCATTGCGACAGGTCTGAGAGTGCTATTTCCGTGAAATTTTCTCTCCTCCCTAGGCACCTCTGTTACAAATTCCTGGATTCGTTACTAAAACGCATATGGAGTGTATTCGTTTCCCAGTAGTGGCTCCAGGACGGCAGCGGTTCCAACATGTCAAAGGGTTGATACCAAGGGGACATGTCTAGGGTCTCTGGTCAGGGTAAAAAAAAAACAACCTTTGGTGGGCTCAATGAGAGGTTGAGAACAAGGCAAAAATGTGCTTTTATACCGCAATGTTAGGTACCCCAATCACAACAACGATATCAAGTGGTGTCGGACGATAGGGGAGGGATAAATGCATCTTCGAGCGTTATACTGTAATTGTCACTAACCCCTGCTCTCGCCAACATTGGCATCAAGGGCGGTGCTAGCGGGGGTCCAGGGGAACAGGAACACGATGGGGACACCCTCTGTCAGGGAATTTCCAGCAAGGTCGTCGGGGGGAAAAATCAAATGTAAAATTCAAGCATGCCTTACTGAGATGTCAACATTTTAGGGATTAAAACTGTTTAGTGCAAGCATGCTACCGTGTGCGAGGTGTTGCATACTATTGCGAACGTATGGATTACAGTGGTGCGCCAGCTCTTCCCCGACAGGGGGATGATACCTCAGACAGAGGGTTGGTACCTCAGGCAGAGGGTTAGTACCCCCGACAGGACACTAGTACCCCGATATTCTCTTTAAATAAAATAAAAATTCCCACAATTATCACATTTTATTATCTTTTAATATAAAAAAAAATCTCCGAAAATCTAATTTTTTTCTCGACCGGGGATGTGGGGGAGGGGGATGAGGCTTTTTCGTGCGCCGCGCCTGATTAGCATGTATGTACGGACTCTATCTTCGGTTTAATTAGTCCTAACTAACCATAGAGACGTCGTCTCATAGTCAGACATTCATTTTTAGGTTAGCCTAAAATAGAAGCCTATCATTACTAAACAACATAATTAGGACCTATACGAGACCCAGACACTGACCTTACCTGCTGCAGCTTACGCCTATACTATTCCGTCAAATCGCTATTGTTAAACCATTGGTATTCATCAGTTAAAACCTATTATATCAACAATAATGGAATCAACAGATTTTGCATTACGATCCGTCGTAACTTCAATTCAGTGGTTCGAATTGTTATTTAAATTTGAAGAGATGTCAATCACTATAACAGCTGGTCGTAGTGAAAGGTTGGCCTACAGCCTGAATGATGAGGGTTGGTCCAGCATTAGCAATAGTTCACTCTTACCATGCTCTTTCCATTGAATCAGACGCTTATCGTCTGGGGAAGCGCGGCCTTAACGCTTAGTCGCCGCTATAATCGTGACGTAGGTGTTCTTTCAGACTAGTGATAGTGATTACTTGCACGCTTTAACAGCTATAGTTCATCCTATATATTTTGAAATGCATTTTCTCTCACAAACTTTTGAAGAAACAGCCGTTTTTATGAGGTTACTTTTGCGGATCAAATACATGCCTTAAGCCACATTTACACTAGACACCATTACGACGCGACAACGACATCATCATCGCGTAGTTTGCATTCTTCAACACTGCGCACATCTGTATCTTGTTGTCGTGTCGTAATCGTGTCTAGTGTAAATGTGGCTTATAATGGGCCTTGCCGGAGTGTCAATCAAACTTAAAAGTAGCATTGTCGAGTTTTTTGTTTTTGTTTTTGTTTTTGTTTTTAATTAATCAGCCAATAATCAGGATTTAGCTCAACAACACAGTATACAATTGTATAGAACAGTTTTTATTATTTAAATTCAAAGATAATTTTGCCAATTCTAGAGAAATATAGAACGTACACCATAAGAATTTTAATATTTGGAAATACAGTACTCAACTTGATTAGACGTTGGCGGCGCCTTTTCGGATGTAAAATAGTGGGTAGACGTCGAAGGATGCTGGAATGGGAACTTAATTATCTTTTACACAGTGGGACTTCGTACAATTAATTATGAATTGTTGATGATGATCAGTGGTGGCGCCATGATTTTCCAGAAGTGGGGGCCCGAGTCCCCCACGGTGGGGGCGGGGGTCGCTCAAAATCTCTCAAAAGCATTCCATGGAGGGGAAGCCCCAAAAAAGCACAATTTAGGGGTTTCAAATACTTATTTAATCTTTAGGAGTATACTAATAATTTATTTAGAAAATACATATACATATATTCTCCCCGACGAACTGAAGTTTTCTCCCCGACGAGGGGGGGGGGGAGCTCTTCCCAACTGGGGCACTGTACCCCCTCCACTGGCACCACCCCTGATGATATAATGATGCCGATATTTCTGGTGCTGCGTTTAACAGCATTTTGCAGGTATGGGGCGGATGCAGGATTTAGCGGTAGGGCGTCGCGTGAGAGTCCACACCACCATGGTTGAAGCTGAGGTGCGACAATTTTGAGGATATCATAGTGCCAGGAAACTGCACTCTCAAATTTATTCAGTAGTATGTTCATAATGATATAAATACAAGGGCCGGGGGGGGGGGTGCGCGATCACACCGCTTGCACCCCCCCCCAGCATCCGCCCCAGCAGATTTGTAGCTGAAGTTAATAAACAATTATGTTGAGTTACCGTATTATTTAGATCAATACATCCACTGAAGCTTTTCACCTGATTATACAGATAATGTTGATGACATTCAAACAAATATCATTTATAATATACTAAACAATAAAATACATTATTTAGAAAATTATAATATATTGTTCCTTTAGTGTTGTCTAGGCCTGTATTGCTATGTGGCAAGGATGTTTGATATATATAATTATTATATATTTTTACTATATAAACACTTATGTATAGTAGGTGGGGTTGACTTATCATACTATGAACTGTCGTCGATGGAACTGTATGATTTTCTGCGAAAAGGAGCTGGTGCTACACCTGGCGCTGGTGGTGCACTAGCAGGTACGCTTTGCTCACTTTCGCTAGTCTTTCTCTTTTCCTCTTCCTGCTTTGAAATCAAATTCATTGACTCAAATTCTGGCTCCATATTAGCAAATACCTGTAATCAGAAAAAATGATTTAAAGTAATAAGTAGGCGGAATAGATAAACTATTTTATACGAATAGCGCGTACGAATATTCATTTAAATGTGGATTCAAATAAGGTCAAACAATTCAGAAACAGATTTATACACAATGATAAATACAGTATATTGCATTAACTATGCGCATATAGGCCATATATTATAATTAGGTCTGTAATATTAACTTACTCGTCGTACGATGATAAACAATACAAGAAAACAGAGGGATGCCGCGCAATAGATGTAGCAAGTTGTAGCTGCATCGAATCGGTAGATTAGACAGCCACTCAGGAATGTTCCGATTCCTACTCCAAGATTCTGGAATATTGCATTAAGAAACGAAATACTGGTTGCGAGAAACTGGGATGGGAATGAGTGCACTGTGTAGGAAACGAGTGTGTTCCATACGGCAAAATATGACGCTCCTACAAAAACAAAAACAAATATTATAATAGTACTGTATCCTGTATAGTAGGAAATGTCTGCGAAATGAGGTCAATGTATCGTGTACCGAAAAGTTCGGTTCACATTAGAGAAATTTAGAAGCGTTACGCAAGTGTAGACTGTACGAATACGTTACTTGGTACTATCAGTGTGAACAACCACCTGCAATTAGACGTGTAACGTAACCACTGTGTTGTGTAACGTGTCTCCCAACGTGTTTTTTTTTTTCATAGAAGGGATAAAGAGATACATAGTTGAATTGCCGTTCTTCCGTTTGCGGTAGACGCGTGCTAGTGTGAACGGCCAACAAGCGTGTAATGGAGAGTTCTTTAAGTTGACTCTCATAAAAACCTGACTTGAGAACAGTCAAATAAGTTGCCTTATAGTTTAAGTGGTCATGAATGTGTTAAAGGTAAAGTCATATGAAAAACAATCAAACGATTTACGCTATCGTCTGATTTTGTTTAGCTTATAGTGTTATTACTTAACAGCCATTGATTTTTGCGATACAAAAGCAAATACTTTTGAACCCTACACCCCCCCCCCCTTTGGGGCATGAAGTGGCACCCATATTAAGGGAACTTTTGTTCGTCCACGAAACAAGGAAAAGTATATCTTTCAACACTACGACCAACCCTTATTCTGGGGACACCCCTAAGGAGACACTATTTTGGCCCCAATGTGTCCTCTTAATAGGGGTTCTTTTGTAATAGTAAAAATTTAAAGAGTAAAAGAGTAAAACATAAGCATTGAAGGGTTGGCGCCTGTGGGAGGGCGGGAAGAGCTGGCCAGGTCGGGGAAAAAATTCACATGTGAACTTAAAACTACGCAGGTTATTACTGGCTTTAATGATTAAGGTAATGATTAATGATGACATCGTTTAAATATTTAGCTACATTAATGTTAAAAGAGTAACATATACATTACCCTGAATAATCTCAACCGGGAGAATCCAAATAGGATTTTGTAGTACAGCATAGATTAGAAATCGAATGCAATACAAGGCTAATGCAATGACCAGTATTTGTGTATGGCCTAATCGCTCAATAGCTTTCTTCTGGAAAAATAAACCCCAAACTATCTCGGAGAGAGCTCCAACTGTCGTTGCTATCCCCATTAACAGTTGAGTTGCACCTAGAAATAAATTGAAAAATTTTCTTTACGTACATTATATTGAAAATGCGACATATATTAAAGCCAGGCTCCGGAGGATATTTTTTATATGTTGTACAACTGATTTTTGTAAGACAAAAACATATTTTGGAGAAAAACTCGGAAGCGGTTAATGAGATACAGATTTTTGAAAGTTTAAAAACTAGGGGAAAAGGGGCGTAACCACTCTCTGGCTTTCAAAGCTCTTTAAAAATTCCTTAAAACATCCAAATGACGATATGGCAGTAATAATGGCAACAAAGAACTATTATAAAACACGATATTGGGAAATACCATTTAACGGGAAATTTTTAGAGAATTGGACTTTAGAGTTTTAGGCAGACCAAATTCGAGACTAATGTCAATAGACACGTTCCTACAGTTACCTTAAAGTTCAGATGGGATTTAAGCCGTTGGGTCGGTGTGTCATGAGCCTCAGCAGGGGCTTTATCAGAATTTCTATATACTTTAGCATTTTACAGGTTAATTTTAGTCTCAAAAGAATACATACAGAGGATCACCCCAATTTTCTCGAGTGAAATATTTACTCCTAAAAAAGTGAATACTATTATTCATAAATGCATATAATGAACAAATTATAAAACTCACTCTGAATATTGTGAAATTTCACTTTATTCCACTCTATACACTCGATCACTCTTTTCACTCTTTCGCATTTTAAAGACATTTACTGAATAGAAGTTGTTTTTTTTTTAATTGTTACCTAGGTTTTCAAGATGATAGTTGAGAAAGTACCAAACAAAACCATTACATGTTCCAACAAAAATTCCAATCACATAAACAGTTATATGCGCTGGTGACAACAGAAGCTTCATAAACTTCTTGACATGGTATTCGACATCGTTTGATATGTTCTGTGAAAAAGGGCATGCAATCGGTTAGTAGGTCAGGTTGTGCAATCTCACAGATTTGTTTTCTATCTATTTTTATATGAAATATGAATATCAATGAATAATAGGAGTGATGTACTGAATACTCAGTTAGGGTGACCCTCGAACCCATGGCATGCAGATAACAAGCCTGGTGCCATAACCATTAGACCACCGAGCTTATTAGTGTTTTGCGTCCGCAGGGCAAAACACCACATTAAATTTCCTGACGCAAAACAACATCAAAATAGTAATGAATATGCCTAAGTCAATCTGAGTTAAAATATAGATTGCGTAGTTGACAAAAACCTTGGTTGTAGTTGATTTAAAGACATGTGAATGAGTGTCTCAGTGTGGTATCCATATCCTACAGAATAAAAGCATTTTAAAAATTATTGTCTGTATGTAACACTATCCCATCCCATATATCTGAGTCTTAAGTATGCATTAATTTATTGAAATCAACAGGTGAGAATGAATGGTTTTAGGCCTACTCTTCTCACCTCAAAAGTAATAGAGCATGCTATTGGCAGAGAGATGAGGTAACAGCCTCCCATCATTAGGAATGCAATTGTATAGTCCGTGACGACGAAATCCATACCGCAATATGTAACAGTTGTTCTGTAAACCTGCAGTAGGCCAGCACTTAGTAGACACCTATATTGTAAAACCACGATTTTATCACGTTTTTTTTGTGTGTAAAATAAAACACTGGTCATGGGTGGATTTATTGGGGAAAGAAATAAATACAAATATTTGATCGCCCAAAACGCCTCAGAGGTTATTTTCGGGCGTCTAGAAAACAACAATTTCGCGGGGACATGCCACCGAACCTAGGGTAGTGTGGTCTCTGGACCCACCCCAACACCTTGATGCATAGTTTGATTAGGATTTGGATATACGGGTCATTTGGACCTGAGTGGAGTAACGTCCCTAACCTGTGATGCATAGTTACCATTTTAGGCCTATTGTTTTTCTGTATCGTGTTTCTTTGTGCGGATATTGGCCCTTGGTGGCTCTTGTAGCAAATAAAAGGAATTGAAATTAATCGAATTGATTTACTAACGTCCTCTTCATAAAATATGGTCACCCTACGATACAAATATATTACAACAAAAGCGTGCGCCAATACTTCAATAGCTTAGCATTTTTAGTGCTTCATATCGTGACATAAAAACCTGTGTTAGGTCTACGTAAATACTTAACTGAGAAACTTATAATAAATTTCAGTAAAAATCAGAACAATACACAGTTGATAGATGTTTAAAATATCAAACAAAAACGTGCATTCACAGACATCATTTGCTAATATGGAGTTTGCGCAAGCTTACGAATACGGTTACTGATGATGACATAATCCTGTATCTTATACACATCTAGATGTGTATAAGAGACAGCCACGTAGGGTATGTACTTTCTACATATTAGTAGACTCTAAAATTGATTAAATATGCCTCTAAAACCCCTAAATTGTTAAAATTTTCAGGGGCTTCGCCCCATTGGACCACTTTCCAAACCTTTTAATCGAAGCTCGACCACGCCCACTTTACTTTCGTCGGGGAAACTTCTCGTCGGGCCAATCCCCCCCTCCCCCTCCCGTCGGGCAAATCCTGGCGCCACCCCTGGACATAATTAATGTCGAAATATTGAATCCCAACACGATGGAGTCCATTTCAATACTTGGAGTACGGTATGTATTCTAATACGGTTACATCATTAACTTTTAGACAACCCTTCCCCTGCAGTAGAATATCTGTCACAAAATAGGCGATTCATGCCTTTTACATGAATCAAAGATCATTTTCACTTTGTACAGCGTAATTGTATAGCGTAATTGTCAAGATCGTTTTAGGAACAAGCGACGATAATGATAATGATATATTCGTATTCATTATCGTCTTAAGGTTGCGAAATCTCCCTAATAAAAGGAATAGTACGATTTAAAAGCATTTAATTCATTGTACCCTGAAACCAAGAAGAGCAAGCCTATATAAATGACAAGTAGGCCTATATATTTTTATTAACTCTGGATGTTCAGAATTTAGATTGCTTGTGGGGAATGGTATTTCCCATTGTCGTATGTAGGACTACGTAACAAAGTCAATAAACTTTCAGTACACCATGTGCACTTTATAAGAATGTAGGACTACATACTTATAAAGTCAATAGATGATCAACATTTTAATAGTCATCAATGTTAATGAATTATAGGTTAAAATACAATATTAAGTTAGCTTTAATCAATAAGATAACAAGGAATTATCTTGTATTTAAAACATTAGGCATATGTCTGTTAATAGGCCTACATTACTTACCCGATTATCCACCCTAGTGACCCGAAGGAGCGAAACTTGCTGTAGGATTCGTGTTCTTCATCTAATTCACACAAAATCGACACATCCACAAATGCCAAATTTGCAGCGAAAAACGTTTCATACAAAAATAACATAAATACAATTTCTAAAAACATGATTGTTAAACTGTGTTGAGTATATAGCCATGTTTTACTCTCCTGCTCACGTTTTTTGATCATCGTTTCTTTTAACTCGCTTAAATATTCCTCATCAGTGATTGTCGATTGGTTATTAATAATTGATGAATTATTATTTTCATAAGGTGGGAATCCGAGAGATGATGCCAACGTTTGAATAGCATAATTACAAGGCACTCTTTCTGCAGTCGGTATAAATATCAAAGAAGTGCCAAAAGACATCGAGCCAATAATGGACAATATGAAAATTATTCGCCAGATCTTAAAACGATCTGCAATATATCCCCAAATTGGCGTACAGAACACTCCGAGAACGGGCCTAATGGTAAAGAGAACACCTAATTGGAAGGCATTTAGGCCTAGCTGTCTGAGATACAAAGCGATATACGGTATTACACAACCAATTGCGCTATAAACCAACAATGTTATAAGTCTTATAGCTATATTTTCTGTTAAAGTTCTCCAAGTTCTCATTACACCATGTGCAGGTGAATGTTTTTGTGACGTACTCGCAGTAGAAGTATCTGAGCTTGATGTTGCCGCAGTAGAAGTATCTGAACTTGATGTTGCCGCAGTAGAAGTATCTGAACTTGATGTTGCCGCAATAGAAGTATCTGAGCTTGATGTTGCCGCAGTAGAAGTATCTGAACTTGATGTTGCTCCCATATTCATACCGCAACTTTTCCCACGTTATGGAACTGTAATGGAGACAAATATTACGATTTAATTAAAATTATTCAAGAACACTATTAACATGACAATAACCTGTATGTTTGAGTGTGCCGGTGACATAAATGTTTGTATTGATGCTATTTGTGTGAATAATGAATATCATGGTCTGATCAGGGATCATTGTTATCTGATCATCATTACTGGTACGTCTTCACCATCTTCATAATTTTCATCACAAGGTTAATATCCCTCGTTTTTATCATCTTCATCTTCAACATTCCAATCTTCATCGTATCATAGGCCTATTTATCTTTTTCATGTTAAACTTTATTATCCATCCTGTCAGTATCATCATGAAGTTATTACAGTAGTTTTTATCATTATCTCCATCATCAATAACATCCAGACGCGGATCCAGGATTTTCCATGACCTTCGCACAGATGGGGTGGTCCTTGCAGTGGTGGATTCAGAAATTGGAAATACAGAGTGACCAGAGAGGGACCTTCAAAGATAGACACCTCAGGCGCACATTACTACAGAAGTAAAAATGAAGTACGGTATTTTTTATTTGTTCTCTTTTGGGTTGTAACAATAAACTCACAAGACTGCTCGTGACTACTAGATTCTACAAGTGCGTGGTTGGCTGGGTTGTTTTGGTCGGAAAAGAGAAATTTTCTCTGTGAATTGATTCTCGAACGAGATAACGAAAGCTCTCTAATGACTCAAGCTACTGTATGACCGTTTTTATAATTTTAATAAAACCAATTTCTTCTAATTTTAAATACGTTTTCCCCTGAATTTGTGATAATTCCTTATCACACAAGTGCTAAATGCGTGACACATTTATCTCGCATGTGTTTCTGCAAAATGCGTGTTTCATCTAAAATTACATTGAAACGCGGGACCGTACCGCACGATGCTTGACGGTTGGTAACTATGACATAGATAACTGCCGGACCCTAGTTAAAATTGGTAATAGTGCACCTGATCGGACCTAGAGACAGAGCCTTAAGCCACCTGCGGCTTGCACGATTTTTGTCCCCGCAATGCCATGCAATGCGTCATGGCAAGACGTGCCATTTCAGTGGTACGCTGCAGAGCGTGAACCCGTGTTTGAGGCCTGTTCGCGCACTGTTTGCGCACTGTACACGTATAATTTTGTTACGCACTGTGTATGCAATGTTAGAAATAGGGCCTATCTAAAAAATATTTTATTTAAAAAATTCAATAATATTGAGAACAAACTATGGTCAAGTCATATATGTTATCGTATAAGGCCTATTAGGCATTTCATGAATGTATGATATATTATAATTTTGACAACAATTATTAGAACATGTGGAATTTTGCCCAACCCGTCGTGAAAATGTACTGAATACTCAGTGCGTGTGAAAACTTACTTGGCCTCAAATTCAACCCTGGCCATCAGGTGCAAGCTCGGTGGTCTAGAGGTATTATGCCAGGCTAGTGATCTGGAGAACAACTTGCAAATAATATAATTCAGTACATTTTCACGACAGGTTGGGAAAAAATTCCACATATAGGCCCCCTAATTGATTCTCCTGACGCAAATCCAGGTATTGTCTATTCCATCACGATAAAAACAATTAGCCTACCATTCAATAATAGAACAGTCCTACTTGCAGTGAAGTGAATCTAAAATGTATTCATGAAGTTATGATGATCTGAAGTGTTTAAAAACGTACACAATAATAGTTGAACCAACTTTAAAATACCACAAACGCAAATGTGCGTGACGATATTTTATTTCTTTAGAATGGATTTCAAAAAGTATATTAGTGCATCGTATAGATAAGGTCTTGTTTTGTTGGGTTTATTTTACTTGCAGCGTTTGGGAAATAGGTAATAGCTAAATTGTAATGAATATAATCAATAATTATAGCATCTAAAACCTAATATTATTGAAGGGTCCTTGTAAAGTTTAAATAGGATTTTTTAAAGTTATATTTTTAGATCATTAGACCTACTGAACGGGCACCCAATAGCCCCGGGCCCCAGTGCTGTGCACTGATTGCACTGCCCATACCTACGCCACTGGCGCCACTGGACCTGCGTTTGCTATGCACTGTATCATGCGCTATAGAAGTGGAAGACCATAATGTATTTGGAGTACCTCTCTGGTAGAGCCTACAGTACAATCAGTGTATATGATAGTGTGGATTTAAACATTGTCCTATTGGTAATTTTATTTTTATTTCTCACCCTGACCTTCGCCTGGGCGAACTGGGCGAAGGTCTGGATCCACACCTGACATCATCATCATTAATAGCATCATCACATTATAATCATCTTAAATCATCCCAATTATTTACCAATCTATCACAGTATCTGCTTCATATTCATCATCATCAATAATATCGTCCCCTTCACCATCACAATATAGTAACCGTCTGTCTCCGCCGTCACCACCTCCTCCTCCCCCTCCTTATCATCATCCTCACCCTTCTTATCATCAATATAATAATAATAATTATTATTATTAATATTATTATTATATTAATTAATAATATCATCATCATCATAATCACATTATCTATACCAGTGTCACGTAACTGGGTCCGCGGATCACTTGTTGGTGATCTGCATAAAATTATTGGTGGTCCATCAAACTCTAAGGGTCCGTGGGTGGTCCGCAAGAAATGTAAGTGGTACGAGTGGTCCGGTGTCGTATATAGCCCATAAAACCACGAAAAACAACATTTTAACTATTTGACATTCCTTTCACACTTAGACGTGATACGCATATATTATTTCATCGTTTAGGTTGGGAATTTCATGAGTCTCATAAGTATAATGTTGAAAACAATTGACATTGATGAACATAATGAACAATAATTTATTGACAATAAAAAATCGGTTATGAGACGCAGTGGTGGATCCAAAAAGAGGGGTGGTGCCTTACCTGACCGTTTTCAAGAGGGGGAAAACCTTGAATTTTGAAGAACTTAAGTTAAGACTCCTCAGAAGTCGAAAAAGCTCATTTCCTGCCATCTAAAAATGGAGTAAAACCCTTGTTAGGCTGAAATGAGAGAGATTTTTTATGGTGTGTAATGCGCTTTATTACCACAATATTAGGTAGGCTCAACTGCAATCACAATAAAGATATCAAGGGGTGTCAAGTAGCTATAGTGAGGCCAATGCATGTCAGAAAGGGGTTAATTTTCCCTACATGTATGCATTCATTATTATTCTTCGGTTTAATTTGTCCTACACTAACCACGTTGACCAACTGAATTTCTCATATCATATCATCCCCATTCAAACGTTTTATACCTCACCACTAGCCTAAAAAGAGAGGCTTTTCCTATCATTTACTACTATACTATATAATAATATGGCCCCACCCCTACAATAGCGTATGTCACTCTCCTGCACATAAACCAACCAATAAGGTCCCCCTGACCTAAATATTCTAAAACTGATCTTACCTGATGCAGCTAGGCCTACTATTCCGATAAATCGCTATTGCTAAATCTTTGGTAATCATCAGTTACACCTGTTATATTAACAATAATAGAATCAACAGATTATGTGTCTGTTACGATCCGCTGCAACCTCTCACAATTCAGTTGTTGGAATTGTTATTTAAATTTTAATATGTCAGTCCAGAGAGTTGTTAGTGAACCATAACAGCTGGCGTTTAATGAAACCCGGGCGTTCTGAAAAGTCTGGATTACGAGGGTTGGTCCAGCATTACCAATCGTTCACATCGGCATGCTCTTTTCATTGATTCAGACGGTTATCAGTGGCAGATGAATTAGTTTAGATTCCTCCATGCTCCGGTACGTGGTGTAACCAATCTAACGCGGTCTTAACGCTTAGTCGGCTATAATTGTGACGTATGTTCTTTCAGACTACAGTAGTTGGTTTGCACTTGGACGCTTCAACAGCTAGTCCCATTCATAGTCTGAAAGCTAGCAACATAAGATTACACCAAATTATTTTTGCCTAGAAGGTTAGACCTAATATTGGTTAGGCTGTCAAAGACATGGAAAAAATCATAAGATGAACCCCGGAATGTTGGTCCATGTGCTACATAGGAAGATTTTTCTCTACACTGTCAAATTTAGGAAGTTTTACAAATACATTAAGATATGAACGTGGCTAGGTGGTGGGGGTGATGGGGGTCTTACATCACCTTCCCAACCTGATATTCGGTAGGATTTAGGTTTTTCAGGGCCGTCGGAACCGCATCGGCTTTGGCCGGACCACTTTTTCTCAAGTCTTTTACTTTTAAAAATAAATATAAACTGATACCTATGAAGTTAGTATTAATGTTCGCATTAAATTGTCTTTTTAATGTTATATATTTAAACAAAAATCCACCAATCGCTTGTTTTTGTTTTACTTTATTGACAATCCTTAATTTAATAATTAAGATTTATTTTGAAAATTTTTGCGGTATAAATATAGCAATTAGTATTTATAATTTTTTTGGGGTGAGTTTATATGGTATCTACAGTAGTCCACTTCACTAGCTTTAAATCCTGGATCTGACCCTGCGTTGGTGTTTAATATTAAATATGTGTAGCTGTTTTGAAGGTTGCCAGCTTCTATTCCTGGGCGCCTTAGATGCCATATTTTCAAAAATTGTTTACATCGGGTCCAGCATGATTGCGTTGGGGTAGGTATGAATTCAATATCCCAACTAACACTAAGTGTTGTGCTGCCTCTTGAGGGGTGCGGCCAAAAAACAGAGACAGTGGCGTAAGGTAGGCCTATACCGACTGTTCAGACGGTTCAGTGATAGTGGTGCTAGTACAATTCATCTAGTGCGCCATCAATAATTTATTAATGCAAATTTGGCAAGTAAGTGTAATTAAAAGTGCACCAATATGTTTTTCGAAACCGTATTCATTAATTTTTAGGCTTATTTCCTAATATAACGCATAGCATATTGCAAACTGTGCATTTATAACACATTTTATTTACAGTATTTTTATATTTTAAATATTTCACCATACCTGCACTCTGTGTAAATATGCCTTTATTTGTTGTTATTCGTGTTTGTTGCACCTTACTTATTCATGGAGGATAAGCAACTCAAGTCATCTGTGGCGTATTAATATTTCATCATACTGCATCGTCATTGTTATTGTATATAGGCCTATGTATGTTTCTTGCACTTATTCATGGAGGAATACAATTCATTTATTTATGATAGAAAATAAATATTATTTATCATTTTTCGCAATTGACCTACACTTGTCTTATTCACATGATTTAAAAAGGCCTACGAATTGTGATTTGGTCATTATCTTGAGTCATGCTACTACCTTCTGTGCCCAGATATCTTTTTAGACCCACTCTTTCGCATTATGTATAGGGCATATGCCTTTATTATCTCTTTTGTAAATATATAGACCTAAAGTTTTCTGGATTTATAACGGTAAGAGGATGCCCAAGGTCATACTCTCAAAATCTTCCTATGGGAAACATTACCCACACACGCTCGCACCCCCCCCCTTTTTTTTTTTCAATGTCTTTGACGGCCTAACCAACATTAGGGGATCAAAACTCTCACAAACTTTTGAAGAAACAACTGTTTTTGTACGGTTAATTTTGCGGAAATACGTTCCTAATGGGGCATACCGGAATGTCAATCAAACTTAACCCTCTCCATACCAATCTGGACAGGGCAAGGAATACTTGCTTCTCCCACAAACGCACGTGTATGGATACGTACTTTTACGCTGTTATTATGCAACAATATCCTAGAGGCGGGGCTTATGAAAGGTCATTGTGTTTCAAAATGGACTTGCTGTGTTTAAGGCATTCAAATTTCATGAACAAATTGTTTAGCAATTATTGCGATATGTCGATGCAGGGGGAAAAAGTGTGTTTTCGATCCATTTACAATATTTTATTGGATTAGGGAATCTCGGTACCCGTAAATGTGAGCCAGTTACCTATAAAAATCCAAAAAGAAAATCCGTATCCTTCACATAATCCCAGTTTGTTTGCTTATTTTAAACAACAATAAATTAAAAGACTCGTTTTCCTTTGTTTCATTTATGGTCTGAAAATAAATTATTTCGTTAAATAACCGGAACTCTGTCACTTATTTGTTTACAAGACTCCTTTCAAGGAGTCTATCCATCATGTGTTTGGTTAAACATAATTAGTCCTAAGTCTATTATTAGACTACACAATTATATTTGAGTCACACGTCAGAATTCAGCCATACTACACTGTAAATGGTCTTTTCTTTGTTACCTTGCCTTTCCCCTGCTTCTCAGGGGATGTATGCGTTATGTCTAGGTCGTTGCTAATGTTAATAATTATTCTATTTATCTTTTGTAATAAAGTGGTGGAAATAAATAAACCATAATTACTTTAGTATAGCCCTGTAATAGTTCAGTACTTTGTAGGCCTATTTAAAAACGTACATTCTTATGGAAAAAAGCGGTAATTTGGGGTTGGGTGCGCAAGCATCATCATCGTAAATTTCACCATAATAATCCAGGAATTTTCGTTAGGTGGGGTTACTCCTAACTTTGAAACGAGACCAAAGATTACTATAAGAGTACAGTATTATTTTTATAAGATTTTGCTCTAACCCTGGCGGCGCTCTTTAGGCTACTGTATTACGCCGTCGGCAACGTTTTCCCCTGGGAATATTCTGAACCAATAAACGATATCCTCCATGGTTAAGTTATACAATCGCATCAGGTGTTAGATCACGACCATGACCTAGGCTAAAGTGGAAAAGGGTTGTGTTTGTTGTTTATCTTTATACACTCAGTGTTAGGGTAGGCCTAGTCATGTTTGGTGCTTTCAGCAAGACATATTGCAACTTTGTACGTTCAAGTATTTTTAATCAGCAGTTTCCTATTCCTCTTATTCAGCATTCCACGTGCAATATTGGACATCAGACTAGGCCTACTACTACTACTAGGCCTAACCCTGACAAACAAGATGTTGACGTCGAGGAGTTAAATTACGACGACTTGGTAAGTTTTATACCTCCATGGTTAGTGCAGGGAGATGTATATTTTTTACATCTCCCTGGTTAGTGCTGCTGTAGTCTAGCCTTAGCCAGGAGCTTGTAATTGTCGAGCTGTAGGCCAGCTCTATAAATACCTCCATGAACTAAAGAGAATGTGCATATAGTAATACATCGAAAGCTAACCAAACCAGAATCGCTAGGAAAATATGAGTGCAAAAAAGTGGTACAGTATTGATTGGTAATGTAGCCTATGGTGCCTGCCTAGGCCCTAATTGGCTTGTGGAATTCGGTTCGGAAGGGGGTGTCCCCTTCGTGGGGATCCAGGGGTGTAACCTCTCTGGAAGCTTTAGCTTTTTCATGTATTATAAGTCAAATCTAATGATTCTTATGTGTATTCCATTAATGAAATTATTGATTTAATTTTAACTTGTGTGTTTTAAATTGATAGAATCACATATTGTCTTGTGTGGCTAGGCCTTTATATATGGATAATTTCTTGGCCTTTTCAGTACAAGATACAAAATCCGGATTCAATACTTGTCATAATAGAATGCATTTTTAATGAGCTTCAATTAATACAGATAATTACTGGGCTGGTATTTTAGCAACTTACTGTAATTTCATGTCTAATTATTCAATGTAAGGTCAGGTCCAGCTATATATCACAATCTATTCTTTATACAGTATTCTAGTCATAATTTGACCTTAATTTTAACAACGATTTCAAACAGACTTTTTTTTGTAGTATTTTATTGCAAAAGAAAATAAATTAATATAAAGCAGGCCTATGCAGTTTTCTTTGTAAACTGGAAGAGCATGTGAAAAAAATAAATGGCCGGGAGTCAGGTCACCAAAACGGGAGTCTCCCGGCCAAAACGGAAGTGTTAGCATGTATGCTGCATGTGGGAATATGCACAGTTTGAATTACAGATTTGGCATCTAGAAGCGTCATAACCTGAAACAGCTTAAACCTCAACTCCAATTACTCTTGGAGCTGAGATGCATGTGGCCTGTCTCTCGGGAAAAATAGCCTGTCTGTCGGGGAAATTTTGACACCGTCGCTGTTTAGAAACTGCGCAAATGCTTGAAATGTTGTCTTATCAAACTAGTAAAATAATTGATACACTTTTTTTTTTTAAATGATAGAATTTAGACAGCAGTTTTCCAAAATATCGATTGAAAGAAGTGCTTCCATTCTCTGCGTTCCTTACGGATTCATTTGGCAGAAAACACAACTACCTTAGGATTTCACTTACAGAAAAATGCAATCTAAGATGTAAGTAAACAATAATTATAAAATACTTATTTCCTCTGATTTACATGTTTTACTGGATATTTTTAAGCATCATCTTTATCTGTTAATGAAAAAAAAAAAAAAAATAGGTATCAGTTGACTGCACCCCATGGTGTCATGAAACAATCCTCTTCTGTTGCTGTGTTATGATGAAGCTTTCGGAATAGGAAAGTAACATTGCGAGATACAGTGATGACATCACGATTGACTTATAATTAAGCAATTAGTAGAGTTGCGTATCATACACTAGGGGAATTTATTATACAAAGTTTAGATTAATGCTGGAAAAAATTTAAGGGCCTGGGACAGGAATGCAATTTTAAAATTAATTTAAAAAAAGAAAGGTTGGATAGTTTGAGCAAGGGACTTAGATCTTCGGTAGGGCTATAAGGAAGTTTACATTGGAACAGTGTACTGTAAATTTATACAGCCAGAATTTTAGGGCAACAAACTTAACCCCCAAGCTACAGCTGCATGCTAATGAAGATATTTTAATGATAAAGTTGAATTTATATTAAAATGAAGCTCTTATATGAAGCACTTAGATATTGTTGCTAAGGTCTCGCAAACGACGGTGTAAAAAACGTGTGTTTTTGTGACACACATGACTTCTGGGCCCTGTTCTCATAGGTCAGTTGTTACATGTGATTGACACTTCAGAAAGGTCCATTAAATATTGATGATGATAGATTATTAAAAATGTATATTTCCAAATAAAATGTTAAGTGAGATTGCCTCTTTATTATGATACTAATTTTCACCAAATTTTAAAATAATGTTAACAATTTATTTTACTAGGTCAATATTGCATGCCAGCTGAGGGGGTAACGTTATCTCCAAAAGACCATCTTCTATCTACAGATGAAATAACCAAGATTTCACGGCTCTTTGTTAGCCAAGGAGTGAACAAAATACGGCTAACAGGCGGTGAACCATTGGTTAGGCCCGATATTATAAAAATTGTTGGTAAGTACCGGAGTACTATATTTCTCATATAAATAGCAACTCTATTTTTTCCAGTAAGATGACACATTTCAATTTTTTAATTAGTTAATTTACATTAAAAAAATTGTTTTTCTAAATTATGATTGTATATTTTCTTCCATGGTACAGTTATACTATTTAAACATAATGTCAACGTTATTAGCACCACTGAACATTGTATCTGCTGTGGATATTGACATTTTTACAAATTACCGTTGATTGAATGATTGATTGACTGATTGATTGATTGATAGTCTCATAATGAATCTTACTGTGTAGAGAATGGAGCTGTTTTGTTTTTTGTGAGAACAAAAATCAGGTTTTTGACTGACCATTTTAACCTAGGACCATGGAATTGGAATAAAAATTCAATTATCTTGACCACCAGGTTACAGGTCTTGTGCATTTTTAATTAACAAGCAATATTATATTAATATAAAATGATATTTTGTCCATGTATATAGAACTCATTGATACTTCTAAACATTGAACTCAATGAAGATATTTTTTTTTTCCATTGATAAGATTTAAGACTAAGACATTCATTTTCTCTTTTTTTTTCTGTATTAGAAAATTTAGGTGAATTTGATGGTTTAGAGCAAATCGCAATGACAACGAATGGCATTGCTTTACCTCGTAAGCTACCTGCTCTGAAAGCTGCCGGACTAACCCATCTCAACATCAGTTTAGACACGTTGAACCCTGCTAAGTTTGAGTTTATCACACGGAGGAAAGGTGAGTGCAGTGTAACCATTAATTAAAATATTAAATATTGGGAAGTGTGAGCAATTTGGCTTATCAGTAAAGACTACTGCATAGTACATTCGGGTATTCAAAGTGAAAGAATTTGGACACATCTAAGCTTTTAAAGCCCTGACCAGACTATCAAATTTTATTAACAAAAACATGTGACTTGCCTAAATATGGTCATGATGACATCACATCATGACCATATATAGACACATCATGACTATATATGGGCACACAACATAAATTTGAGAAAATGGAACGTCCCTCTGCATTACTATGTTTTCCTCCCACAAAAATCAAATTTGCATCCCAATTCTGTATACAGTTGAAATTGAAAAGTCGAATCCAAAATGGTATAGAAAAATTGTTCGACTTAGATAAAAATCAACTTACAGATGGTTAATTAATGGAAAACACAACAATTTTCATGTAAAATAAGATCAACTTAGAAATTATTTGAGTTAGGCAAGTTTAACTGTATTTTATATTATTTTTTTTAAGGTTGGCATCATGCTATGAAAGCAATTGATACAGCAATTGAGCTTGGGTACACGCCTCTGAAAATTAACTGTGTCGTGATGAGAGGTTTAAATGAAGATGAAATTGAAGACTTTGTACAGTTGACAGAAAGCAAAGCGATAGATATTAGGTTTATTGAATATATGCCTTTTGATGGCAACAGATGGAACAATAACAAGGTTGTCCCAATGAAAGAAATGGTAGAAATTATTGAAAGAAAGTGGCCTGATCTGCAACGCATCTCAGACCAACCAAATGATACCTCAAAAGTAAGTTCTTGTATACAATCACAGTTATTATTTATTATTATTATTATTATTGTTATTGTTATTATTATTATTGTTGTTGTTGTTACTGGTATTATTATTATTGGTATTATTATTTTTAAGAATTAATCCTTTTAACATTTTAATTTTTTGTATCATTTCTGGATTATCTTTGTACTTTTCTCTTGATTGTTGTCATTTTATTGTATTTTATTGTATGTGTTGCGGGGCCCTAGAGGCTAACAATGCTTTTGCACTAATCAAGTTTACCAGGGTAAACAATATATAAATAAGTAAAGAATATTAATATAGCTCATATAGTCCTAAAGTATTTATTTTAAAAAAATGAACTTACATTTTACATTTGTGTTTTTTATATTATAAGTTATTAGCTTTCAAACAAATATTCAAACAAGAACAAATTGTTATTGCTAGTCGACACACATTTAGTAAAACCTTTCTATAGTCTTTGCTGATACCCTCATTCTTGTTATCTTTTCTTGATTATTTGAGCGGCAGTGTAGGCCTATCAATAATAATATATCAATCTGTTCCATGCCAAGTGATATTCTATGGAAAGTGCTGGTATATACAGTACAGTATGTAAAGTTGATCATTGTCTTTAACAGCCTTTGTTACTGGCGTTAAGAACACAACTGCCAATTTCTAGACTGTGTACACTATATCTATAGATATAATTGAGGGCATAATTTTTAATGATGTTTTTTCTCTGCATCCAAATAGTTGTTCTCTTCAGAAACATGGCAAATGTTTAAATTCATACTGCATTCTGGTTTCACTCATATAGCAAGATAACATTATTTGCAGTGTATATTTATACCTATAGCCCTATTTTTATTTTCCATTCATTGCATGTTATGGTGTCCCAAATGATCAGTTGTGTAATGTAGATCATTAAATTATTTTAAGATAACAAGTAATAAGATTTTCTTTAATTCATAGGCATACAAAGTTCCAGGGTTTAAAGGTCAAGTAGGATTCATAGCCTCCATGAGCCAGCCATTTTGCGGTACATGCAACAGATTGAGGTTGACGGCTGATGGTAATTTAAAGGTAGTGCATTTTTTTAAATCTATGAAATATTTGTACAAATTACGGGAGGTGTTAATTCATTGGTTGGTTAATTGATTGATTGGTACTGGTTTTTCTCCCATTTAGGTTTGTCTATTTGGAAATTCTGAAGTGTCCTTAAGAGATATTTTACGATCAGGGGCCACTGAAGATGAACTCTTAGATGTAATCGGAGCTGCAGTTGGAAGAAAGAAAAAGCAACATGCAGGTGTGTTATTAAATTTTAATTAATAATTTCAGTTTGATAAAGATTATGATTAATTAGTACTTCTATGATACTATTTGTTATTAACGTTACTATGAACTGTGGAAGTGGTTTGGTGCAGCGGGAACGGTTTGGTTTGGGTTTGTTTTACAGTACATTCATTTATTTAGATTTCCAGTAAATATTTGGTTTTTTTAAAAATCATTTTAGGAATGTTCAAGTTGGCGAAGATGAAGAACAGGCCGATGATTCTTATTGGTGGGTGAACGGATCATAGTTTTAATGTGTATGTACTTTTTTATGGCTACGGCCCATTGGGAGAGATATTCCTATTGTGGCCTTTGTCTCAGTTCAACGAGCTCTACAACATAACTTTTACTTTACTTTCAACAAATGAACTCACCAAATACAGGACAATGCTTTATAAATCAAGTCGTATTATGATCCTAAACTATCAGTGGATTTGTCTTTGCACATGTTATGCAGCCGACCATCGGGTAACAAATTTGTCCGCACGATGAACACTGCCCAGTACAACACTTATTATATATTTCTCATTAATTGTATTATTTTTATATCTTTCAGGCAAAGATTATCAATCAAATATATTAATGACTTATAATAAAGGGAATCATCTACCAATGAAGATTGTATTATCTAAATGGAAAAGAACAAGCGATATTCAATGTTGTAGTTTAAACTTTCAGCTAAATGGTAAAAAGCTAAAAATGGTAACAGATCAGAAACTAAAAGGGAAGTATGGTGCAAACAGTATTACCAGACATGCTTGCGTCCATGCAAGTTACCCTCCGAAAGAAAATGTAGTACCCTTAAAATCAGTGCTAAGAAATTTAAGTTTTTTAAGAAGTTCAAGAATGCATTTTAATTATGCATCATGTGCATTTAGTACAGGGCAGGGGGAAGATGACCCAGAGGTCAGTCTTACTCACGTTGATAACCAGGGTAAGGCCAAAATGGTTGACGTATCAGCCAAAGCCACCACACAGCGTGTTGCAACTGCAAGTGGACAAATACGATTAGGAAAACTAGCGTATAATTTACTTAAAGACAACAAGCTGGCGAAGGGGGATGTGTTAACAGTTGCAGAAGTGGCTGGTATAATGGCGGCTAAGAACACAAGTAGTTTGATTCCCTTGTGTCACAATATTCCACTCACAAAAGTGGCGGTGAATTTTCAACTCGACGATGATACGCAATGTGTTGCGGTTGAGGCGACGGTTAAAACGACTGGTTTAACAGGGGTGGAGATGGAGGCTCTTGTTGCAGTTTCCGTCGCAGCGCTTACAGTTTATGACATGTGCAAAGCTGTGACGCATGATATCCAAATTGGCGATATCAAATTAAAGCATAAAAGTGGAGGAAAGAGAGAGTTTATCCGTTGAATTAAAATTTTGATGTTATTTTATTCCGGCGTCAACCAAATGGCCTAAAAAACATGAAAGGATAAAACAAAGTGAAGAAAAAAAAATGATGCAAGCCATCGCCAATATTTAGAACACTGAATCGCAGTGGATTATATTTATGGTCGGCAACCCATGGGTCGCGGACAAAATGCAAAGGGTCCTCAGGTCACATCAAGTGCTTATGGAGAATTTGATTTCTTTAAAAAAACTTCAGCAGTTTTCTGGTATAAAGACAATCGTAATGGCAGGGTTCTTGATGCTGTTCTCCAAAACAAATGTTGTGAGACAATACACAGTATATATTGGCTGTATATTCTGGTGTTTTGAGACATTTCTAAGGAGTGGGGTAACTGTAGGCTTTGGGTCGTGGGATGCTAAAGGCGATTTATGTTTGGTGCTGGGTGTATAGGTTTACATCACTTCCTTGAAGGTTTTTTCATGCTCTAATATTTCATATTTATTTATGGACTTACAGGATGAAACCCTGAGTATTCAAGACAAAATCGAGCAAACAATGATCAATTTCATGATCACATTTTAAAACAAAACCTTATCCTGTACTATGGATGTACCATAATTGATGACTGGATGGCCAACCAATTTGGTTCATTCTTGAGACAATCATAGAGAATTCTAAATTATTTACTGTTCATTTTCTCTGGATAAATATTAATGCATTTTAATAAATTGTTATAATTTTTACAGTATAAACAAACTGTTCATGATATTGTACTCTATGCAAGTTCTTGGTATGTATTGATTGAATTTATTTGGTACAGTACTGTATACCTCAGTTGGTGCTGCAATATTATTGTAGATTATTCAACAATAACAGCGGAGATAAATTATATATTGTAGGATCAGAGTTTTTATGAGGCTTTTATCTTGTATTTTATAGTATATTTTATTTCTTTGCAATTTTTTTCCTGTTCTGTAATTACTGTGTCATATATTTAATTGAATAGCATTTTTGAAATTTTATTAATAATTAGTGAACATATAAGGTTCAATGTTAGAGAATACTGTAATTAAATGAATAACAGACCTGAAAAGATGACATTTTTAATATAATTGAAATGTACTGCAATATAATACTTCAAATTATAGATTCATTATGAAGGCAATGTTCAGCCCTCTTGTCACTCCTATCTGCACTGCTGACAAATGTACTAGCATAGATGGATTCAAGGGGGCGAGAAGTTGGCCAGTTCCATCCTTTTAGAATTTCCAGACATGAAACTTCAACTGGATTCACGGTGAGGCTGAGGTGGACTGAACCCTCTGTAAAATTGATCCCCACTATTTTCTGGATCTGCCATTGAATAGTTTGGTGTAATAATTTGTAATGGTAATGATATTGTTATTAAAATTATATAGATAATTATTAGTCTAGCTTTTTTATTATCAGTGGCTTGGATGACTGTTTCTCTTTTAATTCGTACAGTATTAAAATAAATTAACATGTTACATTCAACTGAATATTTAATGAACAAAACAGGAAAACAATACTGAATAGAATAATTTACTCTTTAAAATTAAGACTATATCTAAATGCACACATAACATTTCAGGCAAATAAAATTCTATTAAAAATAATATGTGCATTAACAATTAGTATTCTATATAACAAGTGTCCTAAAATTAAATTCATTCTTGGTATTTAAATTGATTATAGCTAATGCTAGGCTGTACAATTGAAATGCTATTTAGACCCATCTAGAAGTACCTTTTCTTAAAAATTTACTAACCACAAACAGATCCCCTTCCCACAATGGTTTGCCCTGGTCGGGAAATATCTGGCACTGCCTTAATAATTGTGTGTTTTAAACATCTTGTGTCTGAGAACACTCTTTCATTGGATATTGATTATGATGAACTTGCCCAGTTTTAAAATAATAAGACCTATAATACAATCTTTCTGACCAGCTATTAATTCAAAGTTTAAAGGTTTATGGCTTAATTACAAACATATTGGATAACACAAAACATTCATTCAACTTCTGTAATATTTCTTCATAATGACAAAACAGTAGATATTTAAATTTTCAAATTAATGTTTCTTTTTACTGTAATGCATAATGTCATACATAAAAATAATTTACAGATACACTAAATAAAAAATTCTCTATCCATTGAAACAGCTCAATAAAAGCGAATACTAGTTCGCGAGGAAATAGAATCACTTGCGGACATACTGTACATTGTGCCGTCAACCAAATTTTTTCATTACATTGGCAAACAAAAAATTTACAGTACTGTATTTTATTTCTAAATTTAATCATGAAAAACAAAAGTCACCTTGTATTTTAATGTAGGCCTGGTTTTGCCATAAAAAACAATCACTTGTAGGTTTACAGTGTCAGACTGGATTAGCTCCTCCACACAGCAGTCAAATAAAAGAAACAAATGTACCATCAAAATTGTAGCCATTGATATCTCGTCATATTCACTTCAGTGGCATATCTAGGAGGTACGCGGGGAACATTTTCCCAGTTTCCCCCCACAGGAATAATAGTTCGAAGCCAAAAAATTACACCAAAGCAGCTAAAAATCACCTCATATCACCTTGTGTAGTTTGCCTGCTAGCTCCCCCAACTTTCATTGAAACCTCTCCTACGCGCTTCCCTCTCCCCAATTTAAAGACCACTAGATATGCCACTCACTCACATTTCTATATTTGTTGGTTCTTTATGTACAGGTGAAAATCCATGCTGCTTTCAATAATAATACAAAGTTAAATTTATAAAATATTAGTGCATAATTTGATCAAAAATCTCTATGCACTTAGAAAAGTGTATTAGAAACATTTGAATAAAGCATTCTGTTAGTGTCCCTCTGAGTCAGGCCCTGTGTCTGGCCTTGAATATTTCTCTCAGTAGTAAATTACATTGTACAGGTTACTGCAATGATATATTGAGAGATTATTAAGTACTGCTATGGCAGAAGATATTAAGAGATGTACAGTATGGCCATGTATTCAATTTTAAAATGCAAATAAATAAGTAAAATGTTCTTTTCTAGAAGAAAAATATATAATCCATTATGTGCAGCTGTTTCGTGCAATGTATTAGTTCTCATTTCATATAAAATTTACCTTGAGCATTTTTTTTTATTATTGATAATTTAGCACAATCATTAGTCACAACATAGGACAGTACTGCACTTCTAAAAAATAAATTGGCATCTCTTCCATTATTATCTTATAATTGCAAACATGAATCCACAGTGGAGCTATTTTTAATATCTCAATACCCAATATACATCATAATTATTTGCTTTGAGCATTCATCCATAATCTTCAATTTCGCTTTCCTTTCGAATGATGACCTCCCTCTATAGTCATTAATCCTCCTTTACACCCTGAGGCATCACTATTAAAACATTCTGAAATTTCAGAAGAACAGTATCTCATAAGGATCCACAATCCATTAAACATTAAGTTAATGCAGCTTGATATTCGGTTATGTCGAGTTCTACGACTTTACAGCTAGCTTTCAATAGTTAACTCATGCATCTCAACATCTTCAAATTCAGCACTCATCATTGCTTCCCAATTCACCGAATCTTTCTTCTGCAAGGAAAAAAAAACAACATAAATAGAAATATAAAAATCAAATTATAATTGTGGAGAACAGTTGGCACAGCTGTTTGGGCTTTCAACCTTTGGAGTATCTCTAAGAATCTCTTTGTCTTTGTGCAAGGCAAAAAATCCCTTCCAGGAGATCTGGTTAAATGAGTTTTTTTTAACATATTTAATTTTAATTTTGCTGCCACATTGTGACACCGATTGGCAATGACATGACTGTGAGACAACTGATAATATAGTAGTAAAGATATGCAAATATTATAAATTTACAAGAGAGTGTTACTTTCCAGATTCTTGCTTGCTTTGCAAGAGTGTGGGAGGCATCCCGACATCCGGGAGACTTGGGACCCCTGCACTTTGTATTCACCCTGGCATATAAGAGGGAGCCTGGAAGGATCCAATAGTAAGTGTCGATTCTAGCTGGTTATAGAGTAGTGGCTCCCCAAGTAGCAGTTGATGTTTTCCATAGGTGTATGATCCAATGACCAGGCAAATATGTGACATGCCTAAATATGGTCATAATGACATCACATCATGACCATTTATAGGCACATCATGACTATATATGGGCATACAACAGTTTTTTGTCAAAGATAATTTGATAGTACTCCTGTCCACACTATCAAATTTTCTTTGACAAAAAACTGATGTATGCCCATATATAGTCATGATGTGCCTATAAATGGTCATGATGTGATGTCATCATGACCATATTTAGGCATGTCACCGTGAAGCACACTGAGGCAGAATATTGGTACATGAGAGTGGATTATCATTATATCATTGTTATTAGCAACAATACTTACAAGCTTTGATTTTGGCCTCTTTATTTTCTTTGGCTGTTGATTGTGGTCAGACAGTCGATTAGTATCATTATCCAATGGCCGTTTCTTCCTCGGCCTGCTTGCCATTGATCCTAATAAGGATGAAGCATCTACTGAACTACGTTGGAATGACGGTTCCTTAGATGTACACTCGAATGAAGAGGATACATTTGATGTTGGAGAAACTCTGTTTACTGGAGAGATCAACAGAGGTTCTGGAGAAATTATGTTTTCGAACCCAAAGCAGGAATCGTCTAATTGTAGCTTGCTGCTTTTAACTGAAGCCGGAGTTGATGTGTCTGAGGCACTTAATTGGGGCAAGAAACAAATAGATGTACTTTTTCCAGGCGGAGTTACGTAGAAACCGCTATCCCCAGGCTGAGATTGTGCACTAGTTGACATTGCTAGACCCTCATATTCCATGGATAGCTGTGAAAAGGAGACCGATCGTTTCCCAGACTTTGATTTTGTTGTAGCTTCACTGGATGTTGGATTACTTGTATCTGAAGTCTGTGACTGAATTGTTGACTCTGTGTTACTACCCGTCGACTGTCCAAAGACTTTTTTTCTCTGTGTTTTCCCTCGATTTTTTGTTACTCCTGATTGTGTCTTTTTGGATTCTGTTTCAGTTTGCGTATTCTGTTTCCCTTTTGTGTTCTTTCGTTGGACTTAAAACATCAAATAGAAATCACATTAGATAATGACAATTATCTAATTGAAAACAATGCATTTGTTACTTGACTCTGACATTTTTAACTACCACCATATAACAGTTATGAAATTTTAACAAAATTTAAAAAATCAATATAAATTAATACAATTTCTCACCTGGTTTCTTATGACCTTTTTTGTTGGTCTTTTTCGTTTGTGAGTGAACTTTTTTTGAATTAGTTTCCATTTCTGATGCCGAGTTTTGATTTCCAGACACACGACAGTCACTTTCCATATCTGTTGTGCTATATTCCAAGTCTGCATCATATGGATCAAATGGCTGAAATTTCAAGAGACAATATAAACACTATTTAAAGTCCAGGGATGTAGTTATGGTGGACAGAGCCACCCAGACTTGAAGTTTCCCACCCAATCTAATTTCATGGCCCTCCACCCACTCTTACCAATGTTATCACCCACCCACCTTTAAAATGTCAATCACCCACTCTATAGTTTTCTACAGCTACTACCCTGAAGGTCTGAACACACTATCAAGTGTTTTGTGTGGTTTTTTTTCCCATATAAGGGCATCATGATGTCATATCACACCCATATACGGAAATCACAAATCATGATGATGTGAACAGAGATACTCACTTTTGCTTTCTTTCGATTATTTTCCTTCTCATTTTCTGTATCTGTGCTTGATTTCTAAACAGAAAAAAATGTATAAACAAATAGAGGATAAGTAAAATACTTGCAAACTGAATCCATATGCATTTTCATTTACATTAAAGCTTGGTTTCCCTACAATCGCTCACCCTATTGGCGACAGTCGCCGACAGTCGTTGGGGAGATTTAACCTGGTTCAACCTTCCCAAAAACTATTGGCGACTATCGCCGATATGGTGAGCAATTGTATGGAAACCAAGCTTAACCTTTTAAACTGCACCTTTTTAAATTTACTGTAAATAATATTTGGTGGTAGACAATTTAAAAAAAAAATTTTTTGTAATGTACATTTTTACGTTCCGGAGTGTAATTTGCAATTGTTTTAATAATGAAATTTGAATTTGGTCTTTATCTTTCATATTATCGTAATTACAACTATAAGTGATTTAAGGGTTTTATTTTTTCGTTGCTGGTCATTCTCTTCGGCGTTTGGCGGCAGCCATGCTGTAGAGGCCAAGTCTTGTGACAGATCGATCTGGGTGGTATATCAGTCATAAACTGGTCAAGTTCTCAACCCCCAAAATCTCATCCCAAGTTAGTCCAAGAAGCCTATGTTACAATATATATTCGAGAAATTACCACCACGCTTTACAATCTGACCAACATTTTCATATATTTTGAATGCACCCATAACCGATACCTCAATGATTTACCCAACTTGGCAACTTTACGTGGGCTTTACGTCGCTATATAGCCTATGTTTATGGTACTTCCCTAGGCCTACGTCGTAACCATAATTGACAATGGTATAGGCTAGGTCACTTAATATTAAGTTGCTTCTTTATTCTGTCAGTCATTTTGGTACTTATGGCATTGATTGGTAGTATGAATGCGAGTCATTATACTTACCAGCAAGTATTTGCTTGCTAGTCTACTCACTATCTCTTGTGCTGAACATGAATCCATTTCTTCATTTGATGACGAGCCTAAATATTTCAACAATGGCATAGATCAAATAAATTATTTATTTTACAGTAAACCTTCTTAAACATCATTCAATAAAATATTAATAATATATGTGTACAGTATTGATATTACTATTATTTCATTATTATTATTATCATTATTAGTATTATTATTATTCATTACTATTATTATTATTATGAAATACCATTACTACATTGGGACCCTAGTTAGCATAGCTAGAAAAGTAAGACTTGGCCTAGCCCCTACATAATTAAGCCATATAATATTCTTAATCTTATTCTGTTTTTAGCAAGATACAGGTTAGGAATGTCATGAAACTAATTTTTTCCGATTTTCACAAAGTGAGTGAATTTACTGCCGAACGTTTTGGTTGTCAAAAACATGCATTTATTTCTGAGAAACTATTTATTTTGTTCTGAAACCAGTTTATTTTGTTAGTTATATTTATTCATCCAGGGTGTAGTATAGTTAATTTGAACACCGAAACCTAGTTTCTGATCGAAAATTTTAGATGTGTTGAGAAGGGAAAATCCCCAAATCTACCTGTTTGTGTGGTGCAGGTTGATGTCATGCATGTCTGGTCTTGCTGCAATCACATATAGCGACACACATGTACACAATCACGATTTTATGTTTTGTTAATTGAATCCAAGTTTATATTACTCTGAAACCAATTTAATTGTGTCAATTGATATATTTATACCGTATTTCTACTTCAATGGAATTACGTCACCATCACTAAATGAAGAGCCAGAATGTGTGTGACGTAATCTTTCAAGATTAGCATTACAGATCACCCACGATGAGCGGTGAAACGCGAACGGTGTACTGAGTAATTAGAACATTAAAAAGTACAATATGGTACTTAGTACTGTCATCGATAAATAGGCATATGGTTCCACTCAGTAAAAGTCATGTCATCTACAGGTATCTACACATCATTCATAGCCACTACAAGAACTGAATTCTGTACCAAACTCTTGGCATGTGCCACTAGACCTTTACTTAAATTCTTCACTTGGCAAAGAATCTAAGCAAGGCCTAGCTAGGCCTTGCTTGTATTGTTGGATTCCTTGTTTGGCGGCAGCCCTGCTGTAGAGGCCAAGTCTTGTGACAGATCGATCTGGGTGGTATATCAGTCATAAACTGGTCAAGTTCTCAACCCCCAAAATCTCATCCCAAGTTAGTCCAAGAAGCCTATGTTACAATATATATTCGAGAAATTACCACCACGCTTTACAATCTGACCAACATTTTCATATATTTTGAATGCACCCATAACCGATACCTCAATGATTTACCCAACTTGGCAACTTTACGTGGGCTTTACGTCGCTATATAGCCTAGCCTATGTTTATGGTACTTCCCTAGGCCTACGTCGTAACCATAATTGACAATGGTATAGGCTAGCCTAGGCCCTAGGCCTAGCTCCTAGGGCTTGGACTGTAGTCAACAACGTAGGCCAGGCCTAGGTAGTACTAAGTAGGTAGTACTAGTAGGCCTAGGCCTAGGCCTAGTAGTAGTAGTAGTAGTAGTAGCAAGCATGATGCCTACATACAACAAAAGGCCAATAATAAAAAGTGTTAGGTACTTTAGCATATTAAAAGTAGTGTAACTTGCCTTTAAGATGTTTTTGTCTCGATCTAAGTGCAGCTCGCGTACGTTGTTTTGGTGGCATAATATATGCTTTTTGTATCGCATTGACTGTCTGTAACCAAAACCAAACCGAGGCTAGCCTAGGCTATAAAGTGAGTGGAGAGCTGAGTGGTGTAAGAAATGTCCAGTCGTTTCAAATGCGCGCCATTAACGAATGCATTGTGGGGTTATTTGCCAGAAAAGTAGTGTGGCATCGTCACTAAACATTCAGTTTCGTGTTGAGAGCATTTATTTGTTTACTTATTGACCCACCACTCTCTTATAAATATAATATTATCAGTATTATACAATATAAAGTACAAATACAAGTAGTGCATTGAAGTTTGTCTGATTGTGATAGACTAGAGAAAGAATTTCAGAATTGAGACAATTTTAATGAACATAACTGACAACTTCGAAAAACCGGGAAATCCCCTATAGCAAAATATAGCAGTTTTGAGAAATTGGGAGAGGAGACGTACAATTGATTCCAGAAAAAATTTAGTTCAACTTGGTAAAAATCACTTATTGACACTTTAATCTACCTGATAATATTTTTTATCATATTCTCCTGTTAACTGTTTTTGTGTAGGTAATGTTTGATGTATATTTTAATGTTTTCAGAAGCCAAATTGGCTTCTCCTAAGAGGGCCAGCCTAGCTAGGCCTAGTAGTAGTAGACAGAAAAGCCTTGGCCAGACTCTGGCCACGGTGTTTCACCGCTGCCGCAGTATGGAAGGCCGATGTACGCACTAGTGGTTTATTTATGAAGGTTGGAATGTAATTTTTAAAGATTGCTGTATTTTTAAATAGTTTTTTGTGTCTATTTTAGTAGGAGAATATGAATTTTAATATTAATTTTGCCCTTTTACGATGCTTGACTAGCTAGGCTAGGCTATACAATACAATAATACTTTTTTGTATTTTTTTTCATGTATAAATATATGTTTTTTTTATGATTGTTATTTTCAGAAATTTCAATTACAATTTTTGAATATATAGTGTTTTTAATGATATTGTAAAACAATATCTGTTTTCTTCTGGCAGTTCCAGGAAGGAAGTGAAAAGTGAAGTGTACAGTACATATATTTATCAATTTCTGAATTATGCATATAATGCCTATTCGTGTTGTTACGGTGTTGATTTAATTATTAAATAAAATATACTTTTATATCTGAATTTTTAGATATACTATACAATAAAGTTACTGTTACACAGCGATACACCTTCACTGCCATCGCATTTACGCCTAAAAATACCGTTTCTTTTTTATTCTTTTTATAGTTACTGTAGGTAATGTATTTATAAAGTTTATTAAACTATATTTTACTATATTTCCATTTATTTGTTAATTTTTTGGACCAGGTTCTAGTTTTGCCAAAATAATTGATAGCCCTTATACAGTATATCAGCTATTGACTAAATTGTTCTAGTTTTAATGTATTTCTTGCTAGTCCAGCCCTAAAATACTCAAGTCCCAGACCTAGGACAACCACCTTTTTACAGCTCTGTTTTATATACATGATTTAGATATGAAGATGACAAAAATAATTTATTGACTATACTCTGGAAATTTTGTGTAGTTTCTGTAAAAAAAGGGAAAAAACATCAAGTAATGCTGTGATATGATAGTAATAATAAACTTTAATACTAATACAAATAATTGTTAATAAACTAATGTTACAGTATGTAAGTTTTGTGTTTAAAACTAGATACTGCTTAGCTACCTTGTTCCAGATTCGTGGTCGCATTATCGATGCTCCATACACCACAACCAAAATACAAAAACACTGCTTTGATTTTCCGCGCAGATTTAGGTTTACTTTAAAAGCCAATTCGTAGTTTAAACTGCGCATGCCCATATCAAGGTCAATTAGTATAAACAAACACACAACCTCAACATAGGTTTATATCGATTGACCTTGAATATGGGCATGCGCAGTTCAAACTAACAATTGGCTTATTGTACTAGGATTTCCATAGAATCATTTTAAGTTTCTTGAGGAGGTAGGTACATACTCTGACATAATATAAAAATGACAAAGTGCTAATCTATCTATTCATTTATAGTTTAGAATCGCTTTTGACCAATATATTTTCACACTGTTGAGTATTGCCATTTTATATTCAGGAAGAGCTAAAGCAAAACATTCGCTTTGCCTAAATTTTCCTGGAAGTCAAAATGCAGTCCTAAGATGACTTTAAGAAAGAACAAGTTTATAACATCAACAGTATTTGTGATGCAATTGACTGAAAATACTGGGGTTTCCAGGTTTTTAATTGATACTGTACTGCAGCTAACCAACTTATTTTGACCTAGAACAAAGTTCAGTATATTATCTGTTAACAACACCCTGCAAAATTGCATTATTGCATCAGAATTTGTGTTAACCATTGAACATTAATAAATGTTTTCAGGGTTTCTTTTGTCAAGAAATTGAATCATCCAAATGGCAAGCACATCAAAGAAGCACAGAGAGTTTACTGGTGAACCCATGGGTGATAAACCTGTTACTGACCTAGCTGGAATAGGGGCTACACTAGGTGGACGATTAGAGGCAGCTGGTTTTAATAAGGTACTGTACAGTATATGTTATAAGTTTTTAATATTTTTTTTTTTATTCAGCCACTAGCACAACAAAATGTCTTACAATGATAATAATACAGTAATGTACATTTAAATAGCAAAGCTAACTATCTTCATTGTTTCGCTCCTCCCAAAATTTCAATGAACCCCTTGGTAGATATTGTTTTGTGTGCAGATTCATGCAAAATTACTAGAGTACTTAACGTTGATGTGGAGTTACGAGAGAACTTTGCATCTTTTGGTAAAAAAGAAAAGCTGCAATCACTTTGGATGCACACCTGTTTGATCTTCTGATCAGTTCTATTCAGGTACACATCAACCCCTGTTCAGCATCTGGATGAGACCACAGTGACAGGGGCTGCAAGATGGACCAGTATACCCGGATAACCCCCCCCCCCCCAGTACTGGGTTCTTTATAGTGCACATGAGCCAATTCAGTACACTAGGCATACGATTTGTATTACTTATCTGAGACTTTTTCCAACTCCGGAGCCATAGGCGAGCATGCTGTTCCAACTAGCGCCAATATTATGGCTGTAGGTTGCCGCACCCCTGCCTTGTTAATACTGTATTATTAAATCTATTTTTTCGGTTGCCCTATTTAAATCCAGAATTATTATTATTATTATATAATTTATGTGTAAAGCGCATAGGAGCTAATTGCAGTACTGTATGCACTATATAATAAATATACCATTATTATTATTGCTACTAACCGCTCGGCCATTCGACTTGCCTGATCGGTAAGCCTTCTGATCAGAAAATTTTGATACAGTGTGAATTCACCTTTAATCATGTCTACTGAATGGTATAGGCCTATGTTATGTTACAGACACACAAACTGACTGTTAATGTTCAGTGTTATCTTCACATTCTTGTTTCATTTCAGGCTTACGTTGTACTTGGGCAGTTCTTAATCTTACAAAAGCAAGAAGAGCTGTTTACTGACTGGTTGAAGGATACAGTGCAAGCCAACAAGAAACAAGCTGGTGATTGTTACTTGTGTCTGAAAGAATGGTGTGATTCATTTCTTTGAGATGTTACAATGACCATTTTTGATCGTGTGGGCAAGCTGGGTCATATTTTTATGGGACTGCTTTTATTAGCACAAAAATAAAATCAGCATTTAGAATCATAATTGTAAATTATTAACGCTTTTTATCAACCAGTTGATTGACACCAGTATGAGATGATATATTTAAGATCAATATGTAATAACTGTAACTGTAGTACCTGTAATAAATAACTGCACCTCCACTGCTCATAAAAATATCACATTTGGCTTACCAATAGTAAAGAACAATTAACTTTATCCTAGTGAAATATGGTGTATAAAAAAATTTGTCAATCGAAATTCTGATTTTGTACTGTAATACTGTACTGTGATTATAATGTACATATTGTAGGCTTATTGTAGAAAGAATTCCTAAATTGTGTAAAATAGACTACCCTTGTCTAGATTTCAGGAACTTACTTCAAGAGAAGCTGTAGTTCACACTTTATTTTTTTGCTTCATACTAAGGCTCACTTGATTTTGCCATTTTGGAGGTTTTTTTTACTGTTGACCTTTGTCACATTCAGTTTTGAAAGTGTAGACAAAAATCGTTTTTTTTTTATTGATTATCTTCTAATCTATATTTTTAAATATTTTGCTAGAAATAAATAAACCTGCATGTTTATGAATGCAATAGTTAGTTCTGCTCTTACCAAACAATTCCTGAAAGTACAGTAATTGCTCGTTCAGACTTTGTTGTTACGTAATACAAATTTAAATGGAAATAAAATAATTACCTTTGTGATAAAAATCAAAAAGCTATGATTTATGTCATTCATTTTTTAGAACAGTTCCTAACACTTTAGAGCCTCATTTGGGATAAACGTTTATGTCTACTTCGTGAATACTTACCTGGATAAAGAAAAAAAAGATCGAAAAAGAATGAGGAAGTTGCATGGTTGCGGGGCGCGATTATTTTTTCCGTACGAAACATTTACATGAAACTCCACTCGGGCCGTCTCGGCTGAATCGACCCGAAAATCTCATTGCAGAATTCAGGAGGTCAAAAGGTCATCAACAGATGAACGTCTACAAAACAACTCTGAGAGAACGTCGCTGTCTAATTTTTAAAAATACATTGATGTTACTATGTTAATACCAATGGGTCGTTTAAAATGACATATAATATTTGATTAAGCTGCACGAGTAATGAAAAGTGTTATTTTAACTTGAGTTACATACTATGACAATTTTAATTTTTTAGTTAGGCCTTGGTTTTGCATAATTACCTACGCCTACTAAGACACTTATTGGGAAAAGCACAAAGAGTAAGGAAATGCGCGTTTTTCTTCATCAAATGAAAAAGGGTGACAGTTATTTTCAAATTAAGAGAAGAGCTGAGAATAGGCAGCTCTAAAATACTGGATGCCATAAGACCTGCCAAAATGGCAAAAC